ATACACCTGAAAAACAGCAGCAAGACTTGTAATTATTAATGTACACTTGAGCTTATAACAGCATCTGTATCAACTAGGAAAAAAATGAAAGAAATTAGATTTGACTCTTATTCATAAAATCAATCTTGTATTTTCTCCTCTTACAACTTACTGTCACGGGTACAATTTAAATGTCATAAGTATGGCTGAAAAGCAGGCAAATTTAAGAAAAACAAACAACTAAAATTAATAGAGTTAAAATACTTGAAAGTAAATGCCCGTTTGGAAGTTAATACCATCTCCTTTCCCTGCCAAAGAAAACACATTGAATTCAAAACACATTTAATTTTTATGTTTATGAACTTGTCTATTTAACACACTGTAAGCTGGCTGCATAGCCTTCTAAAGTGATGAAATATTAAAAAGGGAATTGAAAAATGAAAGACAAAACAACTAAGCACATCACAGTAGATTTGCTATTTGGTTATGATAAACATCCTGATGATGGGGTCAAGCGAGTGAAGCTTAGTGAATGTACAGGAGGTGGGCAGAAAGAATGTGGGAGCCCTAAAGATATCAGGTGCTGTCACATGTCTACATGATCTTCGCTCCTGCTGTCTATGCTGTAAGTCAACGCACAATTACACATAGTGCCTGCTGCATTTTGGTACTGAAACACCTATGACGGGCCTCTCCAGCTCACCTCAGTCAGTGCACAGACTGCCATGGGGGTAGGAGGAGCACTGCATGGAGAAGCTGGCATGCTTCTCCTGCTCCACTGTGGCCAGCATTTCTGGCAAGGGCTGTGTCTCCTTCCTGATTCCAGTCAAAGCTGGACACCTTACTGGCTCCCATCCCACCCTCTTCCCACTGCTCCATCCCCGGGGCTCTGACAAAAACCAGCTACCCCTTAGCCCCTGCAGTCCTAGGAATGCTAGCAGCTTCCTGGCATCATGAATCTCTTGGGGGCGTCATGGTCCTGTTTAATTCTGTGAGTCTTCCAATCCACACTGAAATTCTTGGAATCAGACTCTGTACACCGAACCACCTGATGTGAGTTCTGTTTTCCCAGCTGTACACTGACAGAGCTGTTTTCTTCGAGCCACAGAGAACTGTTACCCATCAGACACTAACCCCCAAGATAAGAAAAGGGCAATCTACAGGGTTCTTTCATATTTTATGGATAATTAGAAATACAAATGATGATGTCAGTGAGGGAATATAAGAGAGTCAATATCATATACCTGGAAGATGAGAAAATTAACACAATCCTGCAGGAAAAAAACCTTAATAATGTCATATTTTAAACAATTTTCTAAAAATCTAGCCTAAGATAAATCAAAGGTGTGATAGCTACCAATGTATTTATAATAGTGAACAATCAGTAACAACCATAATGTCAAATAATGGAGATAAAGGCAAATGTATATATTTTAAACTTCCCTTTATGGTATTTCCTACCCTATTACAAGTGTACTTGGTAACACAGCTGCATACGGTTCACTTGCCTGAAGCCTGAAGTCCCTAGAGGGAAAGGCTGTTTGATGTAAACACAGCCACGTGCTAAGCAACTGTTTAGGACTCTCAAGAAGTATTTCTGGAGTAAGTTAGTTACATGGTATAAAAGTGAACCTACAGAAGGATTTTATATTAAATGTAAATGCTTATGATATATTGTGAAAAAAGTGACAAGTACAATTGCACTTACAGTGTTTTCAATTTTGCTTAACAGGAAAAAATAAAATTATGTATAATACAGACATACAGGGAGACTAAGTGATAAGAGAGATTATGAGTAATTCAATTTTCTTTGTATACTTTTCTATATTTTCCAAATATCTTCTGATGGGTATATAATAATACATTTAGCATCAGGAAAAAAAATTACTTTTAAAATGTAAAAAAACAATTTGATAGGGAGGCAGCTGGTAGGTTTAAAATACAGCTTGCTTTAAGAGTCAAAACTAAAAATCAAGCAAAGAAATAAAAGCACATTAGCTATCAGGGAAATTTAATCCAGAACCCTCCTGAGTTATTACTCCATATCCACTAGGCTAGCTTGAATAAAAAAGATGGCAACACCTATTGGAGAAGAAGTAGAAAAGAGCCCTCTACTGCATTAAATGTAAAATGATGAAGCTACTCAGAAAACAGTCTAGTTGTTGCTTAAAAGTAAAATGATCACCACGTGACCTAGCAATCCCACTACTAGGTGTATTCTTAGAGAGGTAAAAATATACATCCAAAATTTGTATGTGAATGTTCATAGTGGTGGTAATCCTAACAGCCAAAAGTGAAAACAACCTAAATATCCACCAGCTGATGAATGGATAAGGAAAATGTGTTACATCCATACAACAGAATATTATTTAGCAGTGAGAAAGAATGAAGCTCTGATCCACACTACAAGTACGAATCCCCATAACATCATGCTAAGCAAAAAGCTATTCACAAAGCACAAGGTTCTGTATGATTCCAGTTCTGTGAAATGTGGTTAGTGGTTGTCTAAGACCGGGAAGCTTGGGGAGAGAATGGGCGTGACTGCTATTTGGTACATGGTTCCTATTAGGGGTGATAAAAATGTTCTAGAATTGGTTGTGGTGATGGATGCAATGAAAGAATCACGGAATTGTAATGGGTAAATAGCATGGTATACGATTTATAGTTCAATAAAGCTGTTAAAAGAAAAATAAAAGGCTTGAAGGGAAGCGACAGGACTGGGTTCAAATCCACGTGTCCCAAATCTAATGGGAAAGACAGACCCGTAACACTGCAGCACATGGACTGTTCAAGCTGTGAACACTTCACATGCACCATGAGGCAAGTTAAGAATCAAAAGTTCTCAGGATTAAAAATCCCAGCTCATAACTTCTATGTATATATTTTTTCCGAAGTATATGTTTTGTTACTGAAATTAAAATGCTTATATCATCTGCTCCTTAGGGATATTTTTAATATCTGCTAAGAATTGCTCATTTTCCAGGCACTGAGGTAGACAGAAAACAAAAAACAAACACTTTCCCAGGGCCTAGACTTTAGTTGTGGAGCTAATATATACATATTCAAACATTCTGGCGACAAGGCAAAGCAGCACTATTACTCACTTAGGTATGCATGTATCCACTCGCTCACGTGACCAGTCACCGGGCTCTACCACCCACAAGGCCTTTGGAATATCTGGTGAACAGGGCAGACAGACTTCTCATTCTCAGTAATGATCTTGAGGGCCCTGACCGAGTGGGGAAGCAACACTGCTCTCATCCGACTTCCTGCCAGCCCCGGGCCGGTTTCAGGTCACTCTCTCTTCTCTCATTACCTCCCAGGAAAGAAACGCAGGCTGCTCTCTGAGGGTCCAGCCTCACTCCCGCCACCTCACGTGTCCCTCACCCACAGCGCTGCGCCCCACACGTCTGAACCGCGTAGCCAAGTGTTAACACACACGCAACCGTCAGTTTGATAGAATGCTTTCCTTCACATTCGATTCAGGGCTTTCTGCAGTAATCACATTTCTAAAGGCTTTCAATGTTTTCACTTGCTATCCTTTAATCATCTGAAACCCAAAACACTGTACCCTGTAGTGCAGGGCGCTCTCCTCAATCAGCTCCCCATCTCAGTTCAACTCCATTGTCTCGGTGGTACCAGTATCCTTGCAAACTCAAACCACAACGTGATCATTGTCTCCCCCCTCTGCCCCCAAATCTGCCTCTGCTTCCTCAGCGACCGCCGACTTCAGAGGATTGCACTGACCCCAAACTCAGCAATATGTTTCTCGCTGGTCTTGTCTCTAATTTTGCCTCCCTCCAGTTACAGCTCTGTTATTTCTTCCGAAGAATGTGGAAATTATGTGATTGCTTTGTTTAAGGGATTTTCAGCATCTCCCCAGGACCCCTGAGAGACTTCAAAGTCCTTGGTACTTACAGATTTCTATAATTTGACACAATGCAGCCCTCTAACTGTGCCTCTAGCCCTTTCCCATCCCACACCAGCTTTAAATATTCCCATGTGTCACTTCTGCTGTCCCTCTGCCAGTGCCAGTGCCCCTGCCCACTGCACAGGCCCACCTTCTCTGCAGAGCTATCTCAGGAGCGGGCTGCCTGTTAAGACCACTGTCTCCCGGACACGACTCCCTTGGCAGTCTGCCACGAGGTATTTCACCCTGAGTTTCCCCTTGATGAAACGGCTATTTGCACGTCTTATTGTCAGGTAGCTTTCCCTCTTCCTCTGCCTCACCAACAACATGAGCGAGGGCTACATCTCTGATCAGCTTGTGGGTGAAGCAGCAGAGTGCCCCGCATGCGAGCAAACACCACTAGAGTTCTAGCACCCAGCTCAAGCAGCTAGGTAGCAGGCATTTCATAATCTATCTTTTCCTTGGCTCAAGCCTTGTTTGAAAAGTGCCAAAGCATTTAGGTATTGAAGCTTCTTCTGGCATCATTTTTCACAGTGTAAGTTCCAGGGGTCAGGGGACAAGGACTTGTCTGTACTGTGCTCATCACTGTTTGCCTGGCAAGGTGCACTGTACAGTACATGGTGCAGGTGCTCACATACTTACTGAAAGAAAACTGAATATGAAGACACCAAATATTTGTAAAAGTGGCATACATTCTCCTTAATTTAAGTCATCCTTCAGATGTTGAAACTTTAGGGCAAAAAAGATAAAGAGCTATAGTAAAAGCTACCAGACCATACTGGGCTATATTAAAACTACCAGAGGATCTATATGTAGACATATAAAGAAAATATGCATTGCAATCCCCTGTGCATGAGAAACCCTGTCAAAGGAGACTCGATCTGTATAAATGAGTAGCCAGCTTCCCCAGATTACACAATGACCTTTTGTGAAGTCTTCCCTGTGTTTCTGTGTTTTCTTATGATGGAAAAGAACATGAAAAGATATAGCCTTGATATTAAAAATATTGCTGTCCAATGTTTTAACTTAAAGAAAGTGAAAATATGCAAAGCTATCCAATTATGTTAAATATTAATTGTATTAAGAAGTTTTTAAAAATAAAAAGTCATACCTGATCTCCAAGGAAATGACTTCTCAGTTGAGCTAGAGAAAAAAAATGAAAAGAAAAGAACATTTATTTTCTTTGTCATGAAATTTAATTGTGGAGCTCTTTTGCATATAAGCATTTAATTTTCACATGAAGTTATATAAAGTATCAACACCTCAAATAAAATTTTAAATTATGCCTGTATCTAAGTTAATTTTTAGACAATATTAACCTCCCACATCGATTTGGGACAAAGCTGCATTTCCATTTGGGAATTAAGGCAAATTATAAAGTGACATAAAATTCTCCTTGAATAAGGTAAACAGAGGAGTAGAATTACTAGATAAAGAAAATGTGGTATATCGTTCAGCCATAAAAAAGAATGAACTCCTAACTTTTGCAACAAAATGGATGAAACTGGAGATCATTATGCTAAGTGAAATAAACCAGATCCAGAAAGACAAACATCACATGTTGTCTCTTATTTGTGGAAGTTAATACATGAAGAGAGTATGAAAACTGGGTGAACTGCTTCACTGAGTCACACCATGTAAACGACAATACATTCTTCTCCACCCACCACCCCAAAGAACCTGAACAACATGGAGAGTATCTTCCAAGAAAATGTGTCAAGTTACCTTACAATATTTACATCCCATCACAGGACTTCACATAAAAATGTTAAGATTTTACAAGCCCGAATACAAGTTTTGCTATGTCTGTTCCTTGGCGGATATGCACACCTCTTTAAAAACAGGATACATGAAAATCTGTGCCTCCCTGCTCTCCCCAGCCTTCAACTCCCAGAGAGAATCATGGTGTAAGGGGACAAAGTGGCAGAACACTGCAACAGTAGCTTGGATTAAAAAAGAATTTATTAAACACTAGATTAAAGCTCTTCACATGTATCATCTCTTTTTTATTATTCAAACATATGAACAGGTTCATTATTATCTTTATTTTTCCAGGTTTAAAAAGCCATATGCTAGTAATTGGAAGAGCTGGGATCAAACCCAGGGCGGTCAGTGCTCCTCCACTGTGTGGAACAGGTGGTGATGTGCCATAAGTGCCCACATACACATATACACTATGCCTAGAAAGAAGTCCAGAGAAACACAAAGCAGAGTGCTGGCACCTTTTCTATGTGGTACAAACATGAGGATTTTCTTCTTTTTTAAATACTGGTATGTTTTTTGAAATTAGAAAAAAATAATACAGGTAAATGTTTCAGGAGTGCTTACTAAATCTACAAATGTGTTGCTCTGAGCTTATGGGAATATTCTGTAAAATACAGGAGCTAGAGCAGTTGAAAAGAACAATTCTAGCAGTGCTATAGCTCTAGGATCCTAAGTAACATTTGCCCCAGCTCATTCTAGGTTAGTGAAACTTTGCTGTTGGAAAGCCCTGATTCAGTTAGAACTTCCTGGACTTCAATTGTGTGTGGGGTGTGCCTTTTCTGCAGGACAGTCTGGGCAGTTCTCACTCCGGTACTTTGAATCAGGTGCAGGCAGCGAGGACATGCTTCCAACCAAGGGTGTCACTTAGTTAATGCTCGTCTTCTGCAGAGCACCTGCGATGCTCCTTTATTTATTTGATGCACTCTTACTGAAATCAAGTGACTAGTGGGGGAAAAGAAAAAGGAAAATTTTGCCAATTATGACTCCTATTCCTTTGCATAGGTCACTAGCTTCTTGTGGCTCCAAAAGTTGTTCTCCACACCGAATTTCAACTTAGGTTGAATCTGTTTTTGTTTTTAATTCTATCACCTGAATCAACTTTCAACATGCTGAGCTTGATATTACCCAGCTGTGTTCCTAACAAAATGAGCACACTTTATGTGAATATCAAAATACATGGTAAATCCACTGCCATCCAGAGTGTTTAATATAATCTGAAGTTTCTTGGTAATATCAGGAAAGTTTATTATCTTCTGAGTTTGAAATTTCCATGAACTTTAATGAAATACCTTTACAAGATTTTTAAATCCTTACAATTATAAATCATAGACTATAATTCCAGCAAATTGCTCAAATGGGGCAAGGGCTGTGAATGTTTTTCTCATCTCTGAATGTCAAGGTTTAGCATACTGCTAGGCACAGAGGAGTTGCTTACTACATACATGTTGTCGTTACAAGACAAACCGAAAAACACCAAGCTCTTCATTGTTTTGTGTGATCAGGTGCATACATATTTGTTTAAGAAGGTCAATTCACTCTCCCTCATAGAGGTAGGAAGTGTCAGCATCTTTGCTGTTGAGAGACTAGCAAAGTGTAAAAAGGCATTCCCAGGTGAAGGCAGTGGGAAGCTTCCATTAAAATTAATTTCCCCTACTCTGTTTCAGGTGTAAGACATAAATCATTGGGCAAACATGTTAAGGATAAAGATTAAAACTAAGCAAAATGTCCTATGACATATTTTGAAAACTGTATATTCAGTTCAATCACCTTTGCACTAAATTCTCCAATACCGAGCAACAACTGCTCACTGTATGTTACTCAGAACAGTCTATTTCCCTCTTGGGTGACTTCATTTTAAATAAATCCCAAATTGTTCACTATTCAGGGACTGAGAGATCAGATAACAGATACATGGGATCTAGAAATGCTGTTAGGACACTGAATGCAACCAACGTTTATTGAAACAACAGAGGCAGCCCCATGTTATAAACCCAGGCTCATTCTCCCTTCCTTCCTTCTCTTCCTAGAACCATGTATTCTGAGAAGCACATCCCCATCTTTTCTTGACCATCTTCCTTCCACGTGTCCACAGGCACTGTGCCCACACAGGACTCCATCCCTGCGCCCTGTCACTTCTCTTCTGAAGAAGCCAAGCAGCTTGTGTTGAAGAGCCTCCGTTGGCATGGGAAACATGTTTTAAAACACAAGAACTGAACCACCTGCAATAACTTTGTTTCAATGGGAAGAGGCAGTCATAATTTCTAATGTCATTCTCAACCACCTTTCAGAATAAAACTCATTCTTAAGTTTAGGACTGTCTGGTCACACAGTGAACCACAGTTAAAAGCAAGTTCATTAGCAACTTCATAAACAAAAGTAATTTTAATATAAAAATAGCAGTTTTAAGGAGAACACTATGCCTGCATCATACTATTACATGAAACTATGAAGTAAATCACTGTAAAATTCTACAGACTTATGAAAGTATTTTCATTCAGATACAACTGGAGGCAAAAATATCTTTGTTGGACATTTACAGCAGTGTAATGTCTAACAACGCTCCTTCCTTTGGCACGTTCCCAATTTACCAGTTAGGAAACATGTCTGCTCATGCTGAGTGAGAATCCACAAGGAGCCAAGGGCAGGATGGCAGCGGGATCCTGAGCCATCCACTGGTGGCAGTGGGCACTTTCTGGACACCCAGACTCAGAGCCTGATTCTCTGGCCTTCCTAGACATTCTTCACGCTAACACCCAAAAGCTTTCAATAAGTTCCTTTTCTGCTGAAACAAGCCAGAGAGGATTCTACTGTTTATAACCACAAGTCCTGAACGATGTTATCAAATCAACAAACACAAACAGGTCCCCTGGAAAGAGCTCAAGCCTCCTTCAACTGTAGACCCTATTTCTACTGCATAAAAATACATATAACACTTTGTATTCAACATGTTGAAATATGCCGAATGCCCACTCCGACTCTTTAGTTCTTAGACTCAGTCACTCAAACTGAAGAGCAGGTTGTCCTTGTACTGTGGGGAAGCTCTGTGAGGGTGTGGCAGTCGCCTCCAGTCCACTGCCAGAACCTAAGGCAGTTCCCGGTACGTGGCTATCACTCAAAACATGTGCGTTTTGAATTCACATTGACTCCCACTGACCCAGTCCGGGCCTGCACCCTGTCATCCTGCTGTGGCTGGATCACGGTTTCAGTCGTTCTCCTAACTGGTCTTCCAGGCTGCGGTTTCTCACCCTTTCAGGCTCTCTTCCCATGCTGCTGCTGCTACTGTGATGCTTCCTGCACTGAAGTCTGATGCCATTCTGCTGCTGCTAATACACAATACATGTGCAGACGACAGAACGCAACGTCTCAGGGTGGCAGACACTCCAACATCTTAGGATGGCACAGGAGACCCTCCAGCACCCGGCTCCTTCGAGTTTGCCCTCTCCCACACAAATCTACACTTGAGGCTCTTCTAATTACTTGCAGTTGCTTCACACATCATGCTGTTTCACACTTCTAATTCTATTTCGGGGGCAGAATGTGCAGAAACACACTTTGGAAATTCTTTCAGAATTACTTAAATTCCAGAATGGCATGTGCAGGTACTATGTAATTATATATATATATATATATATCTCCCATGAAACTAAACACTCTAATAAATTTTACCTTCACTTTGTAGCACTTTCTACAATAGCAGCAATATTTATGGAAAGTGTTGCACTTAATTAAGTCAGTCACCAATTTGTTCCTAAAATTTGCCTGTGATGTATACCAGCCTGCTTTAGCAGACACACTAGGGGAAGGGCAGTGGGGAGCTGGATGGAGCCACCTGGTAACTCTACCACACCTTTCCCCTCACCTCCTCTAAGGTCTAGACAGGCAGGCTCATTGCATCTCTACTACACACAGGCTACAGACACTAGGCTCCTACAAGACGCACTGAATTAGGACAGGGTCTAAGAAGCTATTTCTCTGTAGAAAACAGAAGCAGGTCTAGCTCAAGATTAGAATACAATTCAGCTGAAAAAGTTACCGCTCTATTAAACACCTTGTTTTGGGGCCAGTGTTGTGGCATAGTGTGTAAATCACCATCTGCAATGCCTGCATCCCATATGGGCACCAGTTCGTGTCCTGGCTGCTACACTTCCATTCCATCCCAGTGCTAATGGTCAGGGGAAAGTAGTGGATGATGACCCAATTGTTTGAGTCCCTGCCTGCCACGCTGGAGAGCCAGATGGCTCCTGGCTTTGGCTTGATCCAGCCCTGGCCCATTAGGCCATCTGGGAAGTGAACCAGTGGTTGGAAAATCTGTCTCTCCCTCTCTCTCTGTAACGCTTTCAAGTAAATAAATAAATCTTAAAAAAAAAAAAGTATTGTGTTAAGAATTACATACACATCAGTGTGATATACACATTATAGAAATATACAACTCTCATTAATAGCTATAAAAATTAACTCTGGCCAGCCACAAATTAAATTGCACTTAGTATTAATTGGTAGGGATTAGTTACAAGAATTATCCAAGTGATTGTTTTATTCATGTATAGAGCCTGGGTGTGTCCCACTGTCTGGACTATCTACCATCTATAACTCTTTCCCTGGCAGCCAACAACAATCCTTCAAGAATTAGCTTGGTAAGAGTTGATCACTTCCTCCTTTACGTCAATAATGTGCCGAACAGCTCATCTCTATTTTTGCATTTTTCATATGATTATAATTGTAGTAACTGTTTATCTACATTTCCACTACCTACACAGTATCCTTCTTGAGGGACAAGACTGTGTCTTAGTCCTTCCTATATCTAACTAGGAAGTGGCATTATGTAGACATATTTAAGTAAAAGATAGGTGATCTTAACTCTTCAGGCTGTTGTGTTTTAAAGGTCAATCACAATAATTTTAGAAATTGTTTCAATCATTCTACACAGGTATCAGACTCATCCCTTTACTTTGACTCTGTATCTTATGCAAAAGATGTTTATTGTATGTATCACATATATTCATTCATAAAAGGATTTCTTGATCATCTACTAAGTGCTTGTCATTGTTAGAGGCTGGGGAGACAAGAGCCTAAAGAGAACTTACAAGAGAGCCTTTGATGTCAGCATCACAGGGTCCAGCATGGTGCTGACTAAAGATGCATTCAAACATCTGTAACAATCAAAAGCGTGAAACATTTTTTAAAACAAAAACTAAGACCTAACACTCCTACTCATCTATTAAAGGAATCTAAATTGATATTGGGAGCACCCAGGCAGGAATGTGAACCTCGAGTCTCCAGTGGGAGACATATGGAGCAATATAAAACATATTGCCATATTCTATCATTCATTTCCATTCTCACCACTCAAAAATTATAAAGGGCTGGGAACCAGCCAGTTTGGGAGACCAGCAACATAAAATCCTACACATGCAGGTAAATCTGACATTTCTTCTCTCTGTTTTGACAGATAATCTCTTTAAATGGTTGTTGAAAGCATCCCAAACAAGTAGCACTGCATGGCCTACTTCTTCATTATCACAGTGTGGTCTTTCACAAAATTCTCTCAGTGACTTTTAGGGTTTCTACTTTTATCGAATAGAGTTAATTAATGGATGGATGCTCACCGATTAAATGTCTATTTGTCTTTATTCTGGAAATTTGAACAAATACATTTTTTTTTGACAGGCAGAGTGGACAATGAGAGAGAGACAGAGAGAAAGGTCTTCCTTTGCCGTTGGTTCATCCTCCAATGGCCGCTGTGGCCGGCGCGCTGTGGCCGGTGCACCGCGCTAATCCGAAGGCAGGAGCCAGGTGCTTCTCCTGGTCTCCCATGGGGTGCAGGGCCCAAGGACTTGGGCCATCCTCCACTGCACTCCCTGGCCACAGCAGAGAGCTGGCCTGGAAGAGGGGCAACCGGGACAGAATCCGGTGCTCTGACCGGGACTAGAACCCGGTGTGCTGGCGCTGCAAGGTGGAGGATTAGCCTACTGAGCCGCGATGCCGGCCTGAACAAATACATTTGTATATTGCTGTCCTGACTTTGTAACCTGGTTACTTTTGAGTTTCTCAGTAGTTTCATTCATTTGAGCGCTGCTCCTAAATTTAAGTTACATACAAATTTCTGTATTTTTATACACATATTAACTGTTGAGTAAGAGTTAAAATATTACCTTGTATTTACAGATGAAATCTCAGTAGCTTGAATAAAATTCCAAATTGTATTACACTGTTTTGCTACCAATAAATTACTGCCTTATTTTCAATTTATATTTTCCTCATCTTAAAACTTGTCCTTAAATTTTGTCACACACCACTGGTGCCCTTTAATAGTCTACTAATCAAAGTTACTCCTGCAGCAAATGTTCAGATTTTTGGATTCATATTTAAAATCCAAATATTTAGCACTGTCAAAAGTTTTGGCAATTATCTCTTAGCTCCTTATAATTTCCACTGTAATTCATTGCCCTCATAATTTTATGTTTTAATTGTTTTCTAGGTGTATTTCCCAGTTTCTTAAAAACATGGAAACTTAGTTTTTAGTTTTTGGCAATGAATTTACCTTGCAATTACTTAACACCTTTTATCCTGTAGGCATTATAAGTAGTTTCTCAATGAACTGCCTCAGAATCTTCTTTGATATGGACACTGGTCTTCACAGTGCCTTGGTCAATCCATATTTTCCATTACGCACCTGGGATTCCCCTCAGTCACCCCAAGGAATCTGTCAAAATAGCTATTCACGATTTCCAAGTTTTGGCCTTACTTGGAATATTTCATAATACATTTAAAACAAACTACCTGTATTAGTCTGTTTTCTGTTGTTTTATTTACATACCCATGGCTGGGTAGCTATTATTCAGCTCACAATTCTAGATGTTCAGGGCATGGCACCAGCATCAGTTCAACTCTGGTGAGGACCACATGTGAATGGCATCATGAGGGTAGACGCATGTCAACGAGGGAGCAATCAATCACAAGGCAGGACAGAAAGTCAAAGAGAGGGGATGGGCATTCTTGCTACTTCCCACCAGACTCTGCCTCTTGAAGTCTCCCGCCACCACCGAAAAGACCAAGTTCCCAACATATAGAGCCTTAGGGGATGCACTCAAGCCACATTCAAGCCATAGCATGACCTTCAACTCAGCACAACATTCTATTGAATACACTTACATTTTTAAACCTTCATTAATTATAATCAGATTAAGCTTTCAATCATGAAAAGGAGATATCACAACATACTTTAAGATTTTTATTTGTATCTAGTATTTGCTTTGGCTTCCATTTTAACTAGTATATTTAAAATTTTGCTCAGTCTGTCTCTTTATCTGTTTGTAAAACATTCCATTAGTTTCTGTGAGTTCTTAGCAAGGTTAAGCTCGTTGTGTGCTTTAGCTTTCTTCACGGCTCTTGATTTTATGCCACTTTTTCAAATAAATGCCTGTGGACGTCCCAGGTCTTAAAGCATTCACCCTGTGGGGAAGCCGAATTTCTCCTTACCCTGGCCCTCAACTGTAATGACCTTGAATTCACTTTGGACTCATAACCAATGTGGTGAGAAGCAGGACCTAATAGCCTGAGATGGAATAAACAGCTCCCCAATGCTATAATCCTTTCTGATATTCCAACAACTGATAACAGCCCCCAGTAGGTAACTGTCAGGTTATGGCTAGTTTTGTTTTTCCTGTGTTTGGAAACAGGGTCCTCGTCTTTTCCTTTCAGTTAGATAATGACTGACTAGGAAATAAATCCTTAGCATTAGCAACTTAAATTGAGAACAACTAGAACAGTTTGACAAAATTAAACAATCTATCATGATCATTCTTCCCAGCACAGTGTGGAGAGCTCTTCAGCCTTCTCCTACATTAGCCTGTTCAGGTAAAATCACAGAACTGAAGGTCAGTATGTTGTAAACCAGACAATGAAGGTGAACTGAAGGTCCTAATTGAAGAAGAGGGGAGCTGGGAGGCAAACTATCTCCACTCACCATTTTGCTGCCCTGAAGGGGCTCGGAGGACCTAGTTTGATAAATCAGTTGTCTAGCAATCATACTCTGAAAGCTACTTCTTGATATTTAACTATATTTTTTTGGGAACCTCTTCCAAATTTATTTAATGTTAATTCACAAACAAGCTCAACAAAAACAAAAGTGAAAACTCTCCCTCCAGAGCCCTGTTTTTTTCTTGACTGAGGCTTCTCTATACCATGTTACCAGAGACTCTGGGCAATCCTCCATTGCTTGGAAACTGATTCTGAGAAAGGCCCACTGATAAATTCTTCCTGGCTTTTCCTCTGGATATCCACTAGCCCTCTCTCTTTTGAAGCTTATTCTTAAGATCTCAGCAGCCAAGGAAAGAGAAACTGAATTTGTTATTTTTTTTGGTGTGATTGTGTTATGACTTTGCCTCTGAAAATGGTACATGTCTATAATTTGAAACAAGCAAGGCATAAGAAATGAGACAGGGTAAGGGGTCTTTTCTCATAATTATTTATATGATCTGAGGGTGACAATGAGGTTACAGAAAAGGAAGAGCACTTGAATTAAAAATGATGTCTTTCATGTAGGATACAACTGCCCCTGACCCATCTGCAACAGGACACAGCCATCACTGGCAGAGATGGATTTGTCAAACCAGGTCTATTCCTAGCCAGTTAGTTCTGTGACCAACAGAATGAGCAAATAAGACAGCTATGGGAAGGCAGGTCTGATATTTCATGGACCACAGAAACGGCCAAAGGCACAGGGTCTCACTCATCTACTTATATTTCTCTTCCACTGATACTTTACCTCTTAGAATATACTTTCAAAATTTTAGTTTTAGGGTTGGCATTTAGCGTAGTAGTTATGCCAGTGAGGATGCCACATTCCACTGGGGTGCCTAGGTGTGACTTCTGGCTCTGGCTCCTGATTCCAACTCCCAGATAATGCACATTCTGGGAGACGGCAATGATAGCTCAAGTCGTTGGGTTTTCATCATCCAGGTGGGGGACCTGGATTGACTTCCCAGCTTCCACTTTCGGCCTGGGCATATACACTGCAGGCATATACAAGAGGATGCAGGCACTTAGGGAGCAATCAGCAAATGGGAGCTTTCTTTCTATCTGTCATCCTCCCCCTCTCTCTTCTCTATATGTCTCCCAACTATGTAAATAATTTAAAAGATTTAGTGTTTAAAAATTCATGAGCAACAGGGACAGCAAAAAAGTATGACATAAAGTACAGTCTGTTTCCACTGGCTAACAGCAAGTTTGAGTAAAATGTGTGACCAGCCACTGCAGTGAACGTTTTTAGACTCATTCCTGGCCCTATTTTTTTTTTTCATTCTTGTTTTCTGAGTTCATCATCCCATTTTTCCCTCATACTACTCAATCTTATTTTTGGACCTTTCTAACTACTGTATAAAATGCATTCCAGGAAAAAGTATGATATAAATAAATAATATTATGACCAGTTTCCCAAAGAGAAAATTACTTATTTGATGCCCAGCAAGAACATTAAAGGAACAGGAAATACAATTCAAGCAACCTTCATGGGGACTAGAGGTGAACACATTTCAGAAGATGTTAAATAATCTTTGACAAAAGCATTTTGTGTTAGTGCTTTGAATCTATGAATAAAAGATTCAGAAGACCATATGGGAAGGGGAAGATCAAAAAGGATGTAGTACTAGACAAAAATGAGACAAACAGTTCCCTCTGCTATCCCCATAAATTATACAGGAAGCATGACTTCTGTTTAAGCCCAGCCCATAACAGGTGTTCAGCAAGTCAAAGTAGAAATCAGAATGGAAGGTTTTCTAACATTTTAGTTGACAATTTAAAGAATAAGAGCAACTGAAATGAAATGAGTAAATGGCTAAACACAACACCAGACTTTCTTCCCCTAAGTGTGCTGCCAAAACCTACAATCTTATTTAAACAAAGAGTTGACCTTGGAATGCTCATAGATGGGCTACTGAGAATTATGTGTGCAAGATCTACTACTGTCTTCCTTATTTGATTCTTCCTACACCTTCCAATAAGAAACATAAAGGGAATATTCTTTTTTTTTTTTTTTTGACAGGTAGAGTTATAGACAGAGAGAGAAACAGAGAGAAAGGTCTTCCTTCCGCTGGTTCACTCTCCAAATGTCCGCCACAGCCGGCGCTGCACCGATCTGAAGCCAGGAGCC